CCGGCAGCCGACATCTACCCTTAGGCCTCACCCTCACCGAGCTTCGCCTCTCATAGCCTCTTCTCGAGCCTTCAGCTCATCAGTAAACTCTGCTCCAAAATCATCCGCTTCAGCAATCCGCCTCAGCTCAACCCCTCCGGACTTGAACGGGATCTTCTGGCACCACTCGAGCGCTTCGTCCACATCCTTGGTTTTGATCACCCACCAGCCACTCAGAGCCGGATTCTCAAGAGGGCCCTTGACGACGGTGGGGTCGGCGGTCGAGGAAAACGAAAGCCGGTACCCGTCGCGTGAAGAGGGAAGAAGACCCTCTCCGCTGACCATGACGCCGGCTTTGACCAGCTCCTCATTAAAGGTTGCCATGTCTGCAAATTGTTCGGTTGTGGGCATCGCGCCTGACTCGGCCTCCGCATCTGCGAGGACTATGACGATGAAGCGGGGCATGGCTATATGACTGGAAATAAATGGGTATAATAACGGTGCACTGGTGACATTACGGAGTATTAGGAGCCAGTAACGGTCCTTCCTCCCCAGGATAGCCAAAGACAAAACCCATGGATCAACAAGCCCTCTGCGTTGAAGACTCACCTCGTTTATCTAACTGCTTCTTCATGTGAGGGGCAGAGCGAACACAAATTTGAACACTGCCTGAACAGCTCTGATGAAGGCACTGCCCTGTGAGACGTGCACCATGTTTAAATAGACTCCGAATCATCATTTGCTTTGCTTGGCTCCAACCCGCTCGCCAAGTTGAACCAGGCATCAAAGGGACCTAAGAAATTTAGATGTCCTTCCAAGCCGCCGAGACGCTCGGAGAATATCTCTTCCCGGCCGAATACGGGGGCTCTGACGTTATTATTTTTCTTCCAAGCCTTTGTCCATCCTTTGGTCTCTCGCCGAAAGGTTGCCTAAATGACAACAGCGATGCGTTTGAGAAATAGCCAGTATAATGCCTGCCAGTGAGGATCAGTCAGTTCTGTCTGCTGATGGGTGAAATATCCATTTTTTCGATGGGTTCTACGGGGACAGATGCTATTTCAAGATGGCTTAGTTTCGCAGTCCAATTTCATTATCATGCTCAACATCGTCTTGGTGATTGAACTCGCCCCGCCTATAGAACTGCGGCCCCTGATTGTCAAGGCTAGTGCTGGGCAAAACATCTCGCAAGCGAATTGACCCTTAGCGCCCGGAAACTACGAGATCTACGCTGTATGCTCCTGATGAACGTAGGGGTTTTGACAGTCGAAGCAAGAGAATAAACAATGAACGTACTGGCTGACTAGGATAGACTCTATTGAGCTCAGTAATGAGCTGTTTGTGTGCCGTCTACGTTCCTCCCCTTCCCCGCGTCGCGGACTTCGAGAATGGCGTGCGGGCTAGAGATGGAAATTGTGTCTTCACTGGCATTGTCAATCGCTCCGCTGACATAAATAGATGGGCGGCTAGCCCATATATTCCCTCTTGAAAAAGAAAACTTTTGGGTTGAAAACAATTTCAGCCTATGGATCACCAATCGATCACCAATCAGGACTCAGGCAACTATTCTGAACCCGTCAACTCAATTCAAAATGGCTTCTTCTATCAAGGGTACATCAATTGTTTGATGATTACTCGATCTCGGTGAATCCAGATGTAAATTGATTTTGACTGATATGTTAAGTGTGCAATGGGAATGTTGCTGATTTTGCTTAAAATCACTCCTTTCATCCCTGACGATATGGTAGTCGATGGAAGAATCCTTGACTCTGTATCTTGAGACCCTTCTGACTCCACCAAGGGTTTCAAACCACCTTCTTCGCTGGCACTTC